TAGTGCGATCAAACGATGGAGGGCAGCGACAGCAGAGAAGTGCCACTACGTCGTCCTGTAGCACCTCCGCCCCCGAGACCGCGGCAACAAGGCACGTCACCATCCGAGATGCGCGACGAGCCGACGCGCGCTTCCTGTCGCAAGTGATGCTGCAGGCCTCGCGCTCGCATCTGGACAAGGGCGTCTACGACATCTACTTCCCCACCTTCTCCGACGACGAGCGCCTTGCCCTCCTCGCCGACATGGCCGACTGCAGCCCCGACGCCGGCAGCGTCTGCTGCTGGGATGGTGACCCTCCTCCTCTCCTCGCTCCTTCCACTGTTCATCCAGCCTCTAACCGCACGACACGCAACACGCACAACACGACACGCACGCGCAACACGACGCGACCCACAGGGTTCCTCGTCGCAGAGGTGAACGGCACGCCGGCCGCCGCGCTTGCGGGGTATGGGTCGGACACGAAGTCCACGCAAGGCTACCTCGACACGATGTGGGACGCGCTGAAGAGGCGCGGCTGGACGCGGGACCAGTTCGAGCGCATGCTCGAGAAGCGGGAGGCTATCGACTCAGTCACCACAAAGGACTCGCGGCGGCTCTGGGTCGTCGACTGGGTGACCACCCTGCCCGAGTTCCGAAAGCTGGGCCTCATCAGCAAGCTCCTGCACCTAATCCTTCAGCGAGGTGCGCGTGTGGCGTGTGGCGTGTGGCGTGTGGCGTGTGGCGTGAACTGACGCAGTGGCTCTTCGTGCAGGAAAGGAGCGAGGGTACAAGCTGGCGGAGGTGTCGGTCTTCCTGGGCAACGATCCGGCGATCCTGGCCTACAAGAAGAAGGGCTTCGAAGAGTACCAGTCCATCGCCAGCCCCGTGTGGCAGCGCGTCATCAACTGCCCCGGCATCATGCGCCTCATCAAGCCGCTCAACGATAACGACCCAGGGGCAGCCCCGACACAGCCCTCTGCTGAGTAAATAAAATAAATTAAAAGAAATCAAATTTTTATTTGTATTTATTTACGTTTTGGGCACTGCTCATGCTTCCACTGGTGCGCTCTGGTGGCCGGTCAGGATGGCGATGGTGGAGCACCCTGTTGGCGGGTGCAGCGGTCGGGGCCTGCCTCCACTACTGCCTGATGCTCCTGCTCTTCTCTTCCTCCACACCCTCCCCCACAGATTCCCTTTTACCTCCGCGCAAGCAGCCTTTACCTCCGACCAGTACCCCCCTCTCCATCTTCATTCCTTTTCTTATTGTATTTTATTTTATTTTACCAATATAATCTGTCATCTTTCATCCTTCATCTTTCATCTTTATGTCGTCACAGTGCTCGAGGCGACGTCGTCATCTCGTCTCGGCGGCCTGTTCCTTGCACAGCGCGAGGCGGAGAGGCTGAAGCCGCTACTCCACGCCGACCTGCTTCAGCGACAAGAGCAGCGACTACGCAGCCTAAAAACGCAGGGCGACGGTGGTGATGGCGGGGCGAGGGCGGACCTGGTGCCGGCGGCGGTGGAGCGCGAGGTGGAGCGCGTGGCGCACGCCCTGGAGTCGGTCGGGCGCACCAAGCTGGCAGCCATCTTCCGCGCGTGCTTCGTGAGCACGCTCGAGACCACCACCCTCCTCATGCCCAACGGCCACACCCACGTCTTCACCGGTTTCGCCTTTTTCTTCTTCCATGTCGTGTCGTGTGTCGTGTGTCGTGTGTCGTGTGTGCTCACGAGCAGGTCGGGTGTGTTGTTGGTGTGCGGGCAGGAGACATTCCGGCGATGTGGCTGCGCGACTCGGCAGCGCAGGTGAACCACTACATCCCGTTGGCCGCCCACGACCTCCACCTCCAGGTCCTCATCGAAGGTGCGTTGCGTGTGCGTCGTATATTGTGTGTGGCTGTGCGCGGATGACCGGCTCATGAGCAAACCGCGTGAATGGCGGGCAGGCCTGATCAAGCGGCAAGCCAATCGGATCCTGCTGGACCCCTACGCCAACGCCTTTCGCGACCAGCCCTTCCACGGGTGCGCTCGTCACATTCCCTCTCTATATGCACATTTTTTCTTATATATTAATATTGGACAGAAACACACTGATGTGGACATATAATTCGAATAATATTTGACCAATTGGTGATGACAACGGTTGGCGATTGGACAGGCTCAAGGCCAACGACCGGCGGGTGGGCAAGACGGAGGAGATCTGGGAGCGGAAGTACGAGGTCGACTCGCTGTGCTACTTCCTCTCCCTCTCCTTCAAGTACTGGAACGCCACCGGTCCGCCTCTCCCGTCGTTTCGTAGTAGAACGTGTGGTGTGTGTCATTGGACACGCGCTGACGGTGGTGCAGGAAGCACGACGATGTTCGATGACGAGTGGCTGCGCAAGAAGCCGGCCGGTCTCCACCTGGATCTGGAGAAGCCAGAAGCTGGAGCAGAACCACGACCCCGACGTACTCCCCCTCCCCCCATCGTCACCCAAGGGTTTCGCTGGTCTGTGCTGACGCGACGTCGCGGCCGGCGTCGGGCGTGAGCGCAGACGTCGCCGTACAAGTACCACACGGAAATGCCCCAGCAGGGCATCGGGGCCGATACCGCCTACACGGGCATGACCTGGAGCGGTTCGTTTTCGTTGTGTGTGTCGTGTGTGTATGTGCGCGCGTGTGTGTGTATGTGTGGTGCGTGCGTGTGCATGTGTGTGTGTGTGTGTGTGTGTGCGTGCGCGTGCGTGCGTGTGGTCGAGGCTGTGATTATGATTCGGGGCGACCATTAGGGTTCAGGCCGTCGGACGACGCGTGCAAGTATCCGTTCCTGGTGCCGTCCAACATGTTCGCCGTGGTCACGCTGGGCTACTTGGCCGAGATCGCCGAGCGGGTCTACGCCAACGGGGCGCTGAGCGCCGAGGCCCTGGCCCTGCGCCAGCAGATCGACGACGGTACTTAATCTCTTTCGGCCACACCCACCCACACACACACGCACAACTCACGCCTGAGCGTTTTGTGTCGTATCCAGGCATCCACAAGCACGCAATCGTGAACCACCCAACACACGGCAAGATCTACGCCTACGAGGTGTGTGGTGTGTGTGGTGTGTGTCGTTGTGCCGCGTATCGTGTCGTGGTGTGTGCGTCGGATTGATGAGTTGTTGTGTGGATTGGGCCAGACGGACGGCAGGGGCTTGTACAATCTGATGGACGACGCCAACGTGCCGTCGCTGCTGTCGATGCCCTACCTGGGCTACCGCTCGCCGCACGACCCCGACGGCGCGCTCGCTGACAACACGCGCCGGTTCGTGCTGTCCAAGGACAACCCCTATTTCTACACCGGTTGCGTACCAACCTCCGCCACTTGATTGCTCGCACTCGCGTCGCTGATCCGTGCGTGGGGTGTGTGCGATGCGCGTGTGCGTGTGCGGTGGCGACCTAATTAGGTCGACTGGCCAAGGGGGTGGGCAGCCCGCACACGCGTCGCGGGTATGTGTGGCACATCGGCCTCACCATGCAGGCGCTGACCTCGACCGACCCCCGCGAGATCCTCGAACTCATCGCGACCTGCGAGGTCCCTCCCAGCGCGCTCGATTTTATGAGAGACCGCCAATTACAGCCATTCTCATCGCGTGTCGTGTGTCGTGTGTCGTGTGTCGTGTGTCGTGTGTCGTGCGTGTGTCGTGTGTTGTGTCGCTACAGAACACGGACGCGGACAAGGGCGTGATGCACGAATCGTTCAACCCGAACCGGCCGGCACAGTTCACGCGACCATGGTTCGCGTGGGCCAACTCGCTGTTCGCCGAGCTGGTGCGCGACAAGCTGCCCGTCCTCCTCCTAGACGCAACCAACCAATCATTAACGCACCACACCTGATCATAAAATCATCCAATCCTATTTTGTGAGATTAACATCAAAGTGTGGATGGTCGACGAACGAGAAACCAATATGGTGGTTGGGAGAGGTGGTCTATTCAGCTCGCCGACGTGGTGCTGAGGTGGTACTGGGGTCCGCCGCTCCGGGACCTCTACGCTCGGTTTGACCCGTTTCCGTCTACGGCCAACCGCACCGGCCTCATCCTGGCCGTGGCCGCCGTGGCCGAGCGCGAGGGCTTCCGGTTCCACCTGTACGGCCCGCCGGCCATCAACATCGCGCCGGCGCCTTAGGGCGGTGCACTACCAGGGCGGGATCAACTACGAAGCCCAGCGTCAGCTGTTCGAACGCTGCCGCATCACGATCAACACCCACGTCAACTTCGGCGGACCCTACAGAGCGCGACGTGATCGCGCCGGCGTCGGGCTGCTGCTCGCGACGCAGAGCATTATGGAGCACGGCCGCGAGTACAGACTGCGCTCTAAGTACTCCTCTGACGCCTGGGCGAGTACCGTCGACGCTGGCATACGTCTTTGTGTGGCATTCCCGACACAGAGACCACCTGACACTAAAGAGGTGAAAAAGAAAAGTGGACCTGTTGCACGGTGAGACTTGAAAGTGAAACAACACAACGCAAGTGTGAGCCAATCGGACTTAGAGCTCCAATGGGGAGTATTACCATCGCCATGCAACAAAGGCTCAAGGCTCTCAAGTTTCTCTTAGCTATCCTCCACATCCCCGGTCTTCTCACTGTTGGTCACTCCATGTAGCTCAGCTAGAGCGTAAAGCACCACACCAAGGCTCCATCTATTTCAAGCTCTCTTTTTATTTCGCCCGCGGCTGGTCACACATCGCCCAACCAACTTCAAGTTCCGCTTCGCGGTGCGCTATTTCTCCTTTCTCAGTGGGCCGGAGTTGGGCCGCTTGAGCCACTTGCGCAGTTGAAGAGAGCCTCACCAAGAGCTTTCCAATCTATACACACACTCGCCACCACACAACTCCAACAGAAGCAGAGAGAAAAACAGGAGCCAGATGCAGAGGCTGCAACCGATAGCGCCTCGCAGTGCTGACCAGGCCCGCCAAGTAGCCACTGCCCAGCTTCTCCAACAGGTTTAGTTTCTCCTCTTCCCCCCCCCCCCCACTCTTCTCTCTTCGCTCTTTCTTTCGCGAATGCAGCCTACGTTCTTTTAGGCGGTAGAGCCTGGCACTCAAAAGGGGGGGGTCTGTACGTGTGGCTGAAGCAGGTGGCGATGTTGGCAAACAGCGTGACCCGCCTAGCGCGCAAGATGCAACACAACCACGGCCACCTGTCACCCCCAGAGCAGGCCCAACTCGACCTCCAACTGCGACTGCTCGACACGCACATGGTCCAACTCCACCGCAACCAACCTGTCACCACCACTTCAGATTTGTTTGCTCCTCCTCAATTCCTGTGTCACACCACCACCACCAACACCGCCCCTCCCCACCAACATCGCCACCATCCACTTCAACAACAACCACGGCCTCCACAACATCACCTCCAGCAGCACCATCAACCTCGACCGCAAACATTTCCTCTCCACGACGATGAAGAAGACAAGGCGAGGTCTGTCGCGGACACCAGCTCCACGCCCTCTTCTCCCAACGCGGCCGAGCCTGCAGAAGAGGCGCAGAAGGCCGCCGCCAACAGCCTCGGGCGGCGACGAACCAAGCGCCTGTTCCACGACCGGGCGTGCCAAGACTGCCACACGCGCTTCACGAGCCAGTGGCGCACAGGCCCCACAGGCCCTTCAACGTACCCTTCATCGCCTTTTTGGTTGCCTTTTTTTTCCTGGTGCCCCACAACCATTGGCCGGTGGTTTATTTTTAATCTGTAAGGATATATTTTCATCTTTAAAGATGTTGCGGTGCAACACAGGCTCTGCAATGCGTGCGGAATTCGGTACGCGAGGCTGGGGAGGCAGGTCGGAAAGCCACAGCTGGTGCCCCCGCCAGCAGCTGTGGCAGCAACTCGAAGCAGCATCCAGTTTCTTCTCAACTGACAGACGCCCAGCTTGTCCGGGAGTGTTTGGCAACATCTCAAGAATGTAGATAACCTGTGTATTAAGAAAATGCTTCTAAAGGCCAATTGGAATCCCTGTGTGTGATCAGGAAGGAAGAATGTGCGAGGTGTTCCTTTCTCACTTTCTTCGTCGTCTCGTTCTGATTGTCCTTTTTAGCACATGTGCCCGGTCTGCCTTCGGGTTTCCCTGAGCCGACAGTCAGCCCAATCTGCGCTATGGCCAACGAAGTCAGACGCCTCACACGCAAGATGCACCTGTCTCCCCGCGAACAGGCCCAGCTCCACGACCACTTGCGTGCGCTCGATGCGCTGCTCCTCCACCTTCAAACCACGACCGATCGAGTCTCCATCAACATCCGGACCCTCAACGTACCCATTTCCCTACGTTTCGCCCCCACGCCCCAATAATGACTCGCTACACGCGCGCAGGTTGTGCAATGCGTGCGGTCTCAGGCACGCCAGACAGCGGTCTGGGCCGATGCGCCAAGCTGCGGCAGCAACGAACGCCTCGGCCGCCGCCCCGCTACGCGGCAGCATCAACTTCCTCCTCAATTGAAATTTTTGTTTATAAACATAAATAGCACACACACCACACAGATGATGTGCATTCCTGACAGCGACTCACGTGAGCCGTTGTGTAGGGGCATGCGTGTAGTCCAAGACAACCACTTGTTGTTGTTGTTGTTGTTGTTGTTGTTGTTGCCCTTCTAGAAGAAGATTTCGGTGTAGTGGTCCATCAGGGTCTGCAGGATCTTCTGGATCTTGCCGAACATCAGATGGCTCTCCAACGTTACCTGCAGGTTCGCCGCGACAACCACCACAACAGCACAAAATGAGCGCACGCGTGACACCACACACCCACACGACACACACACGACACACACACGACACACACGACACACAATGTGGTTGAGCGCCGCACCTGGCGAGGGCGGATCAGCTCGGGACCAAAAACGAGAGCGAGCGTGGCCGAGTTCATTCGGTTCAGCTTTGGTTCATAGAGGTCACCCACGGTTAGCCATGTGTGCGTGCGTGGCGTGTCATGGGTGGAGCTGTGACGTACTTCGCTGCAGAAGCTGATGCGGAGGAGGAAGTGGATGAGGTACTGCAATAGCGTGCGGTTGGGGAGCGGTAGCCTGCTCACCACCTTCTTCAAGTCGTCCTGTACACGAAACCGCCATCACGGAAGAGATCAACACACCCGGCGTGTGCGTGTGCGTGTGCGTGTGCGTGTGCGTGTGCGTGTGCGTGTGGTCAGCGGCGCTATTGGCTCGTACCCGGTACTTGTCAATATCCTCTTTGGTGCCCTTGAGCTTGATGAGGTCGTCGTACACGTCGTAGGTGAACAGCGGCTCCGGTAAATCCCTAAAATACCTGCTCACGATACATAAATGCATAAATATACAATATACAGAAAACATAATTATATAGATATAGATAAAGAAAATAATATGTCTTGGTTTCGAGAGTTAGGGCGCACAATTTGAGCAAGTCGGCCACGTTGTGCAGATTCTTGCCTGTCATGTCGATCTCGCCTGAATCTGTGTGACAGAACAGAATTAGATTTTTGTATTAAAATAATGTTAACATTATTTTAATACAAAAAAAGAGTCTTGGCGGAGGTATCTGTACACACCTCTGCTTAGGCCTTCGAAAGCGTCGCGGAGGTCTTCGACACCAGAAGACGACGCTGACTGCGTGAACAGATCCTCCTCCGCAATCGCTGCCACAAGACACGAACGTCAGCATTTCAATAGTGTGAGACTTACACATGTGTCGTGTGTGTTGTGTGTGTCGTGTGTGTCGTGCGGTATCAGAGGTGCGTGTGGTGGTGGTGGTGCGTGTGCGACGGTGCATGGAAAGAAAGGGGGAATGACAAGCGTACCGTGGGTGAGGAGGTGGTTGGTGGTGGCGAACACAATGTAGGGGATGCCCAGCTTGCGCTTCTTCTCCGACACCAGCAACTCGAGCAGCGGAACTCCAAACACTGTCCCGCCATAACTACACGTCAGGAGACGGCACACACGGTACACACGGCACACGACACGCACGACACACGCGGGGGGAGGCGGTGGTGTGGCACCTCCTTTGGGCTTGAGGCGGTGGACAAGGTCCTTGATCTCCTTCAGCCATACTTGCTTCTTGTCGGCCGATCCCAGGGTCACCAGGTACCGCTCGTCCCTGGCCGTGACCAACTCGAACGTCAAGTCCTCCTGCACACACCGCACACACACCGCACACGTTAAGATCAGGTCAACGAGGAGGAGATGATTGGGCCATTGATTACCTTTTCCTTGCTCGAGATGGAGGAGCGTGGCGAGAAGGAGCTGATGCTGAAACTCTGCGTGAGCCCGCGTTCTCGAGGCGTGGAGGGCGAGGCACTGACGGTGGCGCCCTTCAGCGGAATCTCGGCCTTGAACCGGTACTCGATCTCGCTCGGGGCCTTGCCCTTGCCTTTGCCCCGCTCTGGTCCACAAACCACACCAGTTCAGACCCACCCACCACGTCAGCATTCCGAACATTCCACGCATTCATTCACGCATTCCAAGAAGAGTACCCTTGTCCTTGGTCTTAGAGCCCTTGTCAGACTTGGCCTTCTTCGCGGCCTTGCGGCTCTTCTTGTCGCTGGCGTCGGGGCTGAGAGGCGCGAGCGACGTCGCCCCACGCGTGTCGTTGATACCGCTACCCCCGCCTGTTGTGCGTTTGTGTGTGTGTGTGTGTGTGTGCGTGTGGTGCGAAAAGTGAGCAAAAGGGAGGTATGGTGCGGAGATGGGGAGGGGTCCAACGCACCACCGACGAAGCGCTCGCCCAGCCCAGCAGTCTGGCCCGCGTCGGAATTCCTACCTAGGATGCTGCTGCTGTTGCTGCCGCCCTTCTTCTGCTTCTGCGGCTGGGTGGCGATGATCACGTCCGAGAACACGAACAGGTACCGCTCCTGCCCGTTCAGCTGCACCGCACCTGCACACGACACACAACACACACGACACACACACGACACACACGACATGGCTGATGAGCAGCAATGAACGAGGCAGGGGGAAGGGGTCGTGAGGTGAACCTTCGAGGACGAACTTGCGGCGGGCGAGGAGGAAAGGGGAGATGGGCGGCGCGACGATGACGGAGGGCGAGGAGGCGGTGAGGTCGCCCCCTCGCCCCGACTGGGTGGGCGACTGGCTGCCGTTGGCCGCCGACAGGATGTCGTAGCCGCTGATCCGCACCGCCACCGACAGCAGCTCGGCGCGGAGCGGGGCCTCCTCGGTGGCCTTCTTGACCTGGACCAGCGCCCTCTTCATCGCCGACAGACAGTTGCGCAGGGCCACGTGGTCGGGATGCCCCTCCGGTGTGTGCGTGGTGATCGTCTGGAAGAAGAACGAAAACGAAACCAGAGAAGAAAGAAGAACGAAGAGAAGGAAGAGATAAGATTCAAAGAGGGAGCCATGGGAGAAAGATTAGTGGAGGAGAAGGAGGAGATACCTCGAGCAGGGCGGTGAGGTGGGCGGGATGAGCGATGATGAGGGCATAGATGGCGGGCATGTTGAGGGCCTGTTGCGGACCCTTGGACTGACTCAGCCTCTCCTCGGTCTGCCATTGTTAATTTAAATACGAATAATGAATAATACGAATAATGAATAATGAATAATAATAAGGAATTGTAAATGAATAATGAATAATGGATAATGTCAGGCGATGCAAGTACTTCTCATCATGATGGAGGAGAGGGAAACAAGCGAACCTGCTTCATGAACTTGGCGAAGGTGGGGTTGTCTTGCTGGCACTTGACCAAGAGGTTGAGCGCGTACTTGGAATTGGAGATGTACTCGGCGTATCGCTTGGCCCCTTTCACCTGTCCCCACACAACGTAAGCCCAGGGACGCAGCACTCCGCTGTGGAGAAGGTGTGGGGTACGAGGATCTCGGCGATGTGGCCCACGCCCTCGATGGAGGGGAACTGTGAATTGTAGAGTGATCGCAGCTGATCCAATGCATTGGTGTGCGCCTGGTTGATGCTGCAATTGTTGGAGAGCAGATGGTGTGAGACGCACACACGCACTACGATCAGTGACAACGGTCTCACCATGGTACCATGAACGGTGTGCGTGTGTGCGTGTGCGGTGGTGCGTGTGAATACCTCTCAACCCAGTTGAAAATGGTGTCCATGTCCTGGGGCCGCAGCATTGATCCATCAAGTCGCAGTGGATGGATGTAGTACTACTCAACAACAGCACGAAGGACATGCACACGAGCGATTAGAACGGCCATGCGGGTCCAGCAACAAACAAACAAGCAACAAGCCTCGCGGCATTTGATTATGACATCTCATAAGAGGGAGATTGATGAGGGAATGAGAAGGAGGGGGGGCACCTTGATGGCGTGTTGTAGGGTGGAGGTGTACTGGGACTCGCTCGCGATCAAATCTCGTAGGCCTGCATTACGGGCCACCATCGCCTGCCGAAACACTCGGCCTGTGCATTATAGTAGCTCAGCAATTGCAGATTTTGAAGTACAAGAGTGATTTAATTGGAAATCGAAATGATTTCCAATTAAATATATTCTCTCTCTACACGATTTATAAGATTGGGCAGGGGCAAAGAACGAAGACGAAGAGATTAAGAAGGGAATGGAAGCAGCAAGTACCCATCTTGTGGTACTTCTGTCGTTGGAGGAAGCCCCTTATGCACGCCTGGCCCAAGACAAGCCTCTGCAGGATCTCCTCTCTTCTCTTCTGCCTATCATCGTCGTTCATTCTCCAAAACTCGCACTCCGCGCCCACCCGCTCCTCCTTCCTTCACTGTCACACAAACACAAGTCCTGAACTCTCTGTCTGCTGGCTTTTTGTAGCTGGCTCGTCTTTGTATTTTGTTTCTCCACTCGACCAGAACAACCAACAAGGACAAGGGCAATTTCTGCTCACACCACCTCTCCTTTAGGGAGTAACCGACAATTCGAGCCTCTCTGGTCACAACAGCCTTGAAGTCCCTTCTTTTCCTTCGCCTTCTCTCTTTTACCTTACCTTTTTCTCTTTTCCGCCCCAACTCCGCGCTACATTTTTCTACGTTTTGGCGCCAAGATCTACGTAGAGGGGCGGGCAGTGACAACTCATCCCACAGCACCTCCCACCTTGGGTCCAAAGAGGCTTAGATTTCTTCTTCCTTCTCCTTTCCCAGAACGTGCATCAATCTTGCATCAATCAATCGAAAAAAGCAATTTAAAATCGATATACGCAAATAAGATGAGCCAAGAAGCCAAGAAGCCGGCCCAGAGGCGCCTCAAGCTGCCACAAGGCTACGAGCCGCCCAACAAGCGCCGCCAGTCGCTGCTGACCGCCTTCGTCACCTCATCTCCCAAGCGCGAACAGGATGCAGCCGCCGCTGCCGACGATGAGACCGGCAGCAGCCAGTCAGCGGTGCTCGCCACCCCTCCCCGCCCCCCTCGCCGCTCGCCGCGCAGCCAGAAGGCCAAGGCCGTGCCGGCCGCGTCGCCTGCGGTCAGCACCAGGAAGCGGACCGCCGCCGCCGCAAAGAAGAAGACGACGACGAGCTCTAAGAAGGCTGCAACCACAGCTCGCGGTGGCAAGAGGAAGAAGATGGAAGAAGAAGACGACGAAGAAGAAGAGGTGGAAGAAGTGGAAGACGATGACGATGACGATGATGATGACGCGGAAGACGACTTTGTGCCGGACGAGGATGAAGAGGAGCCGCCGGAGGAAGCTGACGAAGACGGTGGCGACGAGGGTGATGGGGACGAGGACGAGCCCAAGGCAGGCAAGGGCAAGAAGAAGCGAACGGCGAACAACAAGGCCTCGGCCGCCAAGACAAAGAAGGCGCCGGCGGTGGCCACCAGGGCGGCCAAGCGGCGGAAGATCGCGGTCGCGTCTGATGGCGACGAGACCGGCGGCGGTGGCGAGATGGACATCGAAGAAGAAGCAAAGAAGAAGTCGAAGTCGACAACGCCGGCGGCGAAGACGAAGACACAGGCGAAGAAGGCGGCATCGTCCAGCGCCACCAGCGGGAAGAAGAGGGCGCGCGATGAAGACGAAGACGACGAAGCCGAAATGGAGGTGGAAGCGGAAGATGATGATGAAGAAGAGGCAAACGACGGCGCTGATCTGATGAGCATCGCCGGTGGTGCCGAGAAGCTGGCGTCGGGCGAACTGGTCTTCGCCTCCGACCCCAAGGTACTGCTGCTCATCTGAGAATATGATTTCAACTTTTATTAACAGCCAACCACAATCAAACCACAAATGACCGACCAACCACAATCAATCAGGTGCACGCCCAGTTCGTGAAGAAGCTGAATGCGGTCGGCAGTGCGCTGCAGACCAGTCCCACCAAGTCGCCGTCCAAGTCGAGGGCAGCCGCTGCGGCGGGCAAGTCCGGCGGCGTCAAGTACACCCCGCTCGAGCAGCAGTTCGTGGCCGTCAAGGAGAAGAATCCCGACGTGCTGCTCATCGTCGAGTGTGGCTACCGCTGCCGATTCTTCGGCGAGGACGCCGAGGTACCTCTATCAGCCTGATCCGCAACATTGTCAACGTTGACGTAGACGGACGCTGATGATGATGATGATGATGGTGGTGATGACGATGGTGCTATACAGATTGCATCCAAGGTGCTGCACATCGCGTGCTTCCAGGCGCACAATTTCATGAACGCCAGCATCCCCACCAACCGGCTGCACATTCACACCAAGCACGTGCTCCCCGCATTCATTCCTCACATATCTTCCATTTATTGTTATTTATTTTCTAATTATGTATATTTATTTGAATTGTTTGGCCTGGTAGTCATTTTTAATATATTTATTTTTCTTTCTAGACGGCTCGTGGAGCAAGGCTACAAGGTGGGGTTGGTCAAGCAGACCGAAACGGCAGCGATCAAGGCGGCCGGCGCCACCAAGTCGGGACCGTTCGCCCGCGAGCTGAGTGCCATCTACACCAAGGCCACCTACATCCCCGAAGGTGCGTGGCCAAGCCAGAGCTTCTTTCTTTCTCTTTCGATTGATTGACATCTGATCGACTCACTGGCGCGGCTCACCGCCCACTTGCCCACAGACGTCGAGACGATTGCCACCGTGGGCGGCACGGCCTCGAGTCCCAACTACCTCATGTGCCTGTACGAACAGCTCAACGAGGACAACACCGACAGCGTTCACTTCAGCATTTTGGTACGTGTCGTCGTCGTCGTCGTCGTCGTCGTCGTCGTGGCATGCTGACTGAGTTGCTCGTGTTCGTTGACACGCGCAGGCCATCCAACTGTCGACCGGCGACATTGTCTACGACGACTTTGACGACGATTTCGCGCGCGAGGCGCTGGAGACGCGTATCCTGCACCTGCAGCCGGCCGAGCTTATCCTCCAGCAGACGCTCACGCCCCAGACCACCCGTCTGCTCAACCGCCTGTGTCCCTCGGAGGCCACACTTGGTACGTTCACCACTTCGTACGTCATGTGCGGTGCGTGCGTCGCGGGCGTGTGCGTGTGCACTGTGTCGTGTGCGTGTGGCGCAGCACTCACAGTAGGGTCGGGGCATGGGCAGGCATCAACAAAACGCTGGTGGAGAACCTGGAGGACTACCTCTGGGACTACGACAGCGCGATCGGTACCGCGATGGAGTTCTACGCCGTGTCGCCATCGAAGCGAGTACGAATATTTCTAATTATTAGCATTCATTTGTTTAATAGTGGTAATATAGGTAATGTAATAATAATAATAATAAGGATAATAATAACAATAAATGGCTCCTGGGCTGAGACTTGTGTACGTGCGCGCAGCCCTCGCTCCACGGTGTCAAGTTCGGTTCGGGCGAGGCTCTGCCCAACGGCGTGGTCATTTGCCTCTCGATGATGATCGGGCGGCTGGAGAAGTGTCAGCTGGAGGACGTGCTGCGCCTCACCTCCAATTTCCGACACTTCACGCGCGCGTCGACGATGTCTGTCTCCGGCATCACGGCGACCAATCTCGAATTCTTCAACAACCAAGTGCGTCGCTCTCTTCATATCTTAACTTACCGCGCCTCACGACGACACGCACACCGCACACCGCACACGCACACGCACACACCACGCATACCGCACACGCCACTGTGCTCACATTGGGTGCTCTTCTGTAGGACAACGGACATTACAAGGGCAGCCTCTATTGGCTGATGAACCACACCCAAACGGCATTCGGCGCTCGATTGCTGCGCAAGTGGCTCCAGCAGCCCCTGCTCGAGAAAAAGTACGGACTGCCACAGCCCCAGGAATTTAAGGTTGAAGGAATGCAACCGCTGCTGACGTGTCAAAACCTGCACCAGGTTCATCGACGAGCGTCTGGACGCTGTGGCGGAGCTCATGGAGACTTCAGCTCCGGCCATCAAGGTACCTTGATTCAATAATGAGCGTTTTTTTGTATGATTCTGATTGGTCGGCATTTGTGTCTGCGTAGTTGATGTTGGACGTCGTGAAGGCGCTGCCCGATCTGGAGCGCGGTCTTGTCCAGTGTCACTACAAGCGATGCTCACCGCAAGCCTTCCTGTCGCTCCTTCAGTCCTTCAAGAAGTGCATATCACCATTCATCGCACACACCACACACGCACACACCGCACACACGCACACACACCGCACACACGCACGCCCACACACACTGGAGTTGTTCATATTCTCTGCGTGCACACCTCAGGGTATCCAAATGCGCGCCACCGCGGGCGGCGCTCGAGCAGCAGGTCAAGTCAACGCTGCTGAGGTCGCTATTGCACTACCCGGACATGTGCGACGACGTGGACTACTTCCTCAACGCCATGTCCACCAAGGCCGCGCAGACAGGCAAAAAGCGAAAGCTCTTCGTCGACTCGGATCAGTTCCCCGAAGTCGCCAAGTACCACTCGGTACGCCTCACTTTTTTCATATTTGTTTTATTATTTAAAGAATATTATTTAAATAATTTTTGATAGAATAATCAATTTCATGCGTACCTAACTAATCATTCTTTTCTTTTTTGTGGTCGTGTAGGAGATTGAGAACGTCAAGAAGAAGCTGCACGATCACTTGGCCGAAGTGCGAGACGAGCTCAACATGCCCAGTCTCGACTACGTGACCAGGAGCAACGCCAAGGTAAGAGAGCCTACATTCGCTAAACACCTTTATCACTGCAGTGCTTGCTCATCAAGCCTTTCTCACACGCACACGCACACAACCCGACTATCCAGTATTTGATCGAGCTGACCCTCGCGAAAGCCAAGTCGATCCCCAAGGACTGGGTGTTGGTCAACGGGTGCGTGCATGATTTTCTCCTCGTCTCACTCAATGAATTGTTTGCATTGACCTGACCGTGTGTTGCGGTTTTCGTTGTGTGTGTGTGTGTGTGTGTGTGTGTGTGTGTGTGTGTGTGTGTGTGTGGTGTGTGTGTTGACCAGTACTACGAAGTTGGGGCGGTACCAGACGCCCAAGATCGTAGGCCTCATGCAGAAGATGGCCCTCAACAAGGAGAAGCTCACCATCGCCGCCGAACAGGCCTGGGACGCCTTCCTTGGGTTCGTACCAAGCCTCAGTCACGCCCTTGTCACCGCCACTTGTGTGCACAGCCCACTCATCGTGTCGTTGGTCGTGTCGTTGGTCGTGTCGTTGGTCGTGTCGTTGGTTGGTCGTGTGCTGTAGAGAGTTCAAGGCTAAGTACGACGTGTTCCACGAGGTGATGCGAAAGCTGGGCGCCCTGGACTGTCTCGACTCGCTGGCCGCCCTGGCCAAGGGCAGGCCCGGCTACGTCCGACCGATCATCTGCGATGACGAGCACCGAAAGGTATCCGCCTACCGCCCGTATGTTGCTGAGAGGTCCCTGATTGCTCACAACCTGTCTGTGCGTGCGGTGTGTGCCGTGTGTGCGGTGTAGTTGGAGATTGTGGACGGGCGCCATCCGGTGGTGGAGGCCCTGATGACGGATCCGTTCGTGCCCAATGCTATCTCCATGCGCAGCGACGCCCAACGTTGCATGGTCCTCACGGGACCCAACATGGGCGGCAAGACCTCCTACATCAAACAGGTACGACACGCACACGCACACGCACTCGCACACGCACACGAGCATGAGCACACGATACTACACGCGCAAGTTTCATGAATGCCACAACTTGATGTGTCGTCGTTCAGGTAGCGTTGATCGTGGCGATGGCACAGATCGGCTCGTTCGTACCCGCCGAGTCCGCCTGCTTGTCGCCCGTTGATGCCATCCACACCCGCATGGGCGCATCCGACAACCTCGAACGGTAACCTTTCTCATCCCCCGCTGTGCGTGCGGTGATGCGTGTGCCGGTGTGTGCGGTGTGTGCAGGTGCGTGCGTGTGCATGTGCGGTGTGTGCGTGCGGTGTGTGCAGTGTGTGCGTGTGCGGTGTGTGCGTGCGTGCGTGTGCGTGTGCGATATGTGGACAAGCCACGATTCGTGCTGCTGACTGTCGCGTTTTCGGCCGAAACAAGGGGCCAGAGTACGTTCTATGTGGAACTGCAGGAGACGTCGAGCATTCTCCAGAAGGCGACGGACCGCTCGCTCGTCATTCTGGACGAACTGGGCCGCGGCACCTCCACCCACGACGGGTACCCTCTTTCTTCCCATGAACTGATCATCGACCTCGACCCCGACTCACGACAAGACACACGACACACGACGACACGCCACCGCACACGACACGACCACAGAGTCGCGATTGCCTACGCCACGCTGGACCACACCATCCGGAGCATCAGGTGCTTCACCATATTCGTAACCCACTACCCGCTACTCGCGCAGGTACGTTCCTTGGTGGACCCCTTTGATTCAATTCAAATTGAAAGAAAGCTCCCGACTGACTCGGCAATCGTGGTTGTGGTGGTGGTTGGGGGGGTGGGGTAGTTGGAGGAGGTGTACCCGAGCGTGGTGGGCAACTACCACATGGCCTTCATGGAGCACGAGAAGGAGCGAAAGGAGGACGACCCCAGCACCACGTACGAACCCATCACATCTTTCGCCCCCCCTCCCAATCAAGCTATTGGTAGTTTGTTGTTGGTGGTGGTGATGGTGGTGGTGTTCTTTGTTGTTGTTTGTTATTTGTTGTTTGTCGGCCTTTTGTTTGTTGATGGTGGTTTGTTCGTTGTTGGTTGCTGTGATCGAGCCGCATGTTCACTAAAAAGCGCTCTTGGTGTGTGGCGTGAATTGTGGGTTGTCGAATTTTAGGATCACCTTCCTGTACAAGCTCACTGAGGGCGCGGCCAAGAAGAGCTACGGCCTCAATGTCGCTCGACTCGCCGAGGCACGTCCTCTCGCTCGCTCTCTCTCTCTCTCTCTCTCTCTCTCTCTATGCTCTCCTTACACACAACACCTGACCCCCGCCTTTGTGTGTCGTGCGTTGTGTGTCGTGCGTTGTGTGTCGTGCGTTGGCTGTAACAGTTGCCGAGCGAGGTAATCGCTGTGGCGTCGAAGAAGTCGCATGAGCTTGAGGAGAGCGTGAAGCAGAAGGCCGAGCGGAGGAACAACACCGCCGTACAGAAGCTGAAGGACCTCTACCGCGCCCTCTCCGCCCTCAAGGCCACCGAGGATGGTGGCGGTGATGGTCAGCAGCAGCAGCAGCAGGAGCCAGGTCATGAAGAAGGCATGAAGGAGGAAGTTGATGAAGCCACCATCATCAACAACAGCAACAGCTGGCACACCAAGATGGCACAGATCAGCAGCCTGCTGGGGCTTTGTAAGTCCCAAGCCACGTAAGCCATGTAGGACCTTTCTTAAATTATTATCAACCCAAAAAGAGGAGCACTTGCCCAAAAAGGAGTTGTGGCCCAGGCACGTAAGGGGAGATGACACTGTGTTGACCATAGCCAGACCAGTGCTGGAACCTTATCCAGGTGCTTGGGCTATGGTAGTGTTTCCGTTTTCTCGCTTTTCTTCCTTCAACCTGATACGAAGCTCACCAGCAGCAGCAAAAGCACCTGGTGGTCACTGTCCCCCGGTGCAATGGTCGCCACCACAGCCCTGTATGCTCTTCCTGGGAGAGAAAGAGGCACCATAGAGGGTGAAAATGAGATGCTATCTTTAGAAACTGGAGGTTTGACTTCAAGTCCCGCCCACACCTGCGGCTGGTCATAGAATTCGGTCCCAGACAACCAACAACACCAGAGAGCAACCACAGCACAACGGAACTGAACCAGAAGAGATCGATTTATGATCCACGGACCAATCGTTCGATCTGCGCGCCGAAGATGCTGCCGCATCCGCCCAGCGATCACTTGCATCACTTCGAGCGCCGACTTCACCTCTGCCAAGTGGTCCTCTGGTAAGTTGCCTTCTCAGACCCTTCCCACAACATACACTTGTATCAGCGTCAGCCAATCATCATCTCTGACGACCACGTATGATCGTCGGTGATGCCTCAATCATCAAGTTGATTGCGAGATGGGATGACCAGATATGGTGTGACTTGATATATGGTGTGATGTAGTTTGTCACAGTGGAACATCACATCATATCTGACCCATATACGTCAATGTGTGCGCATATGCGTACAGGTTGCACGAGAAGTTTGAGCATCAGCCGGGGGGCGATGTGGTAAACTCGGGGACCAGCAAGGCGTCGGTCTACGAGGACTACACCGACATGTGCGCGCGGGCCAATCTCCAGGTGCTCCTCTCGCGGGCCGTGCTGGGCAAGATGGTCAAGCGCGCCTTCCCCGACGTCGTCACCGTCAGGCGCGGCGCCCGCGGCTCCACCAAGGAGCACTACGTCGGCCTGGCCCGCAGGCAGCGACCCATCGTCAAGGCCGAGCCCGAGCCCGAGCCCGACCACGTAGAAGATGATGATCAGCAACAGAACACAACATCCACGTCGACATCCACATCTACCACTACATCTACCTCCACATCTACATCTTTCTCCACATCAATTATTCCATCATCTCCGATCCAGACCCAGGCGTTGAAGTTGCCGCTGACATCCGGCGCGGTGCCCTATGCCAGCCGCGAATTTGGCAGCGGCCACGCCGCTGTGCTTCTGTGAGCCGCCGGTACCCTGGCCACTGCAGCCCCTACAAGCCCAGGCCGGCGATCGATCACACCAGCCACGGCCATTACCTCCTCCCGCACCTCCAACGCGACCACCGCCCTTCAAAGACGATGATCGCCCCCCGGCAGTGAGGTGGGCGGAGAGCATCATCTCGCCCATCACCACCACCATCATCACCACCATCACCACCATCACTACGCCAGCTC